CTGTGGCCAGGGAGGTGTGCCTGTGGCCAGGCCTCCCTCCTCTGTGCAAACTGCTCTGGTTTGCTGAGTTCAGGGGAAGAACAGCCCTGACCCTGCTCAGGTGCTGAGATCCTGCCCTCCTCTGTCTCCAGCTGGCCAGGGGGTGTTTTCTCCCCTGCAGTGTTCCAGTCACACCCAGCAAGTCCTTCCACACCTGCAAATCCTGGGTCCTTCCTTTAGTGCAGCCAGAGCTGCCATCTCTGTCTGCAAAGCAGGAGGAACAGGGATGCTCCCCCCACTGCAGGGAGGTTAATACAGGTCTGAGGGCCACTGAAATCATGGAATGGTTTGGGTTAGAAGGGACATTAAAGATCACCCAGTCCCACTCCCTCCCATGGGCAGGGACACCCTCCACCAGCCCAGGTTGCTCCAAGCCCCATCCAACCTGGCCTTGGACACTTCCAAGGACGGGGCAGCCACAGCTTCTCTGGGCAACCTGTGCCAGGGCCTCCCCACCCTCACAGCCAGGAATTTCTTCCCAATATCCCATCTAACCCTACTGTCTGTCAGGGTGCAGCCATCCCCCCTTGTCCTGTCCCTCCATGCCCTTGCAAATAGTCTCTCTCAATCTTTCTTGTTGGCTCCTTCAGGCCACCATTAGGTCACCCCAGAGCCTTCTCTACTCCAGGCTGAACAATCCCCATTCTCTCAGCCTTTCCTTAAATCAACTAATCAACTTGATGGTCCTAAATCCCCACAGAACCTTTCTGTGGGATAAGTATTTCTCCTCTCTGGAGGCCTGGAAAGGCAACACATCTCCTGGCACCACCAGGGGAGTCCCACAGAGCCACCCAGCACTGGGACAAAGCAACTGAATCACAGAATATCCTGAGCTGGGAGGGACCCACGAGGAGCATCGAGTTCAACTCCTGGTCCTGCACAGGACACCCCAACAATCCCACCCTGTGCCTGAGAGCGTTGTCCAAACCCATGAGTTCCTCCAAAAGGGCTTCCAGGTTTCCAGCTGTGAGCCAGCTCCACCTCTGCTGTGCACATCATGCTGCACTTCATCTTCTCCCCCATGTTTTTGGCCTTACAGCCATCCCAGATGGCTTTTTTTCCTTTTTCTTTTTTAATCAAATAGTCACAACGCTCAGGAAGTCAATGCTTTATCAACAGACTAAACAGACTCTTTGCATCCCATTTTTTTTTTTTTGTGTGGAATGCCCTGTCTGACAGTGCTTTCTATGAAGGCTAATGCTAAAAAAAAAAATAATAAAATGCTTTCCTCTATTTCAGCTTTTATTGGCAATCCATTCTCATTAAGCCAAACACATTTGTCTTCATAACGTGCACTTCACAATTACAATATCAAAGGGTTTGTATCTACATAATAAAAATGATCTATAGAATAATACAAGGGGAAAACATGGGAACATAATGTTGTTATTAATGAATCCAATGGGACGTAGGAAGGCGATATTCCCATGGGACACCTCCACGCCCTTCACTGCCAGTTACTCTGGGGCATGGGCAGGTTTGAGAGGAGAGGAAGAGGAGATGGGAACGAAATTAAAAGGATAGATCCCCCAGGGACAGAGGGAAGGCGTCTCCAAGGGCTTTCTTAGCAAAATGACAATTCAAACCCCTGCCCTGTGCTAATCCAGACACAGCACTGGCCTCCTCTGCACAAACTAGGGCACAGACACAGAATATCCTGGAATCACAGAATATCCTGAATTAGATAATTAGAATTGACAAAGACCATCCAGTCCAACTCCTGGCCCTGCACAGACACCCCAACAACCCCACCCTGTCCCTCAGAGCGTTGTCCAAACCCTGCTGGAGCTCTGGCAGCCTTGGGGCTGTGCCCACTGCCCTGGGGAGCCTGGGCAGTGCCCAACCAGCCTCTGGGGGAAGAACCTTTGCCTGAGATCCAACCTGAGCCTGCCCTGACACAGCTCCAGCCATTCCCTGGCTGCTGTCCCTGCTCCCCCAGAGCAGAGCTGGAGCTGCCCCTCGGGAGGAGCTGCAGCCCCCACTGAGTCTCCCCTCACTCTCCTCTTCTCCAGCTGAACTCACCAGATGCCCTCAGCCCCCGTGGCCCCTCCAGACCCTTCCCCAGCTCCGTGTCCCTCCTTTGGACTCCTTCCAACAGCTCCAGATCTTTCTTGTACTGTGGTGCCCCAAGTGCCCCCAGCACTGGAGGTGAGGCCACCCCAGGGCAGAGCAGGGCAGGACAATCCCCCCCTGTCCCAGGGATGCTGGGCCTGGTGCCCCCTGGGACACGGTGCCCCTTTGGCTGCCAGGGCACTGCTGACTCACAGCTTGCCCCCAACCAGGACCCTCAGAGCCCTTCCTGCCCCACTGCAAAGGCAGCCTGGGGCTCTGCAGGAGCTCCAGGTCACCACCACCACCTTCTTAGGAGTCATAAATCCAAAATTCAGGAGCAGGGGCTGGCACAGCCCCTTTGAGTGGCGATCTGAAAAATAAAAGCTAGACATGATTCCAGTGTGGGGAAACTGGAATGCTTTATTGAACATGGGAACACAATTTTAAAGGCTTCTGGGGCTGGACATGTCGATGAAGTGGACAACCTATGTTAATTGGGGAGTTCCACAAGTTTTTACTGCAATATCCAAATAGTTAATTTTCCTTCAAGTAGGATTACATGGGGGACAGAGGGATTACAGGGGTTTAGACATGGTTTTAACAATCATCTCAAAAAGTCCTTTCTTAATTCTTCTTGGAGCCAGGTTTATATCTCAGGGTTGCACATCAACAGGTCTCAGGACAGGGGTCCAAATTTCTTGAATCACGAGATGTTGTCAGCCTTGTTTTCCAAGGTTTGTGATTCAAATTTACTGAGCCTCCTTTTGCTGAGAGCTGTTTTTGTCCCCTTCACCTCTGCCCAGGTGGGTTCTGTTCCCCTGCCCTTGGCACAAGGATCTGCTGCCCTGGAGCCAACACAGACACAGGGCCAGAGCTTCTCACACTCGACCTCCTTAATTGTTTTGTGCCTCCCAGACAGGATCCAGCACCAGGGGCTTGATTGAGCTCCATTGTACGAGATGACAAAGAACAAGGAGGAATAGAAAGGGGAGGTTCCTGCACTCGGCAAAGACATTTTGGTCCACAAAAATAGGGGAGGAGGAAATAACCCTGAGCAAGAAGGTGGAAAGGCAGAGCAGGAAGCAGGGAGAGACTGCAGAGGTTCAGAGAAGAGGGATGAAATTCCAGAGCCACGTGGCAAGCAAAAATCATGATAAATAAAACCAGCAATATTATTAATAGCAACAATTAATATTGTTAATAATAGCAGCGGTATGAAAATGGTAAAAAAAACCCCTGTGGAACATGAGATATAATTCAAAAATTGCATTATTTGCCCAAGTCTTTGCGGCTGCAAGTGCCCAAGGTGGGAGCACAAGGGCACGAGGGTCCTCCCTTGTCTGACCCAGGCCTGGCAGCCCCTTGGCTCAATATTCACAGAGCCAAACACACGAAAAAATGGAGCTGAGCCTCTGAGCCAAACTTTTGGCATTTAGTAGATGTGGTGCCATTTGTTTTCCACCAAACTGAGAGGGCAGGTTTTATATAAAAGAGCATATTATTGACTCTCATTGGCAGCTCCTCACAGACTCCAGGAGCTTAACCAAGACACATGTTTATCTGCAGCAAAATGCAGCTACAGGGAGGTTCTGTGATTTGTTTTTTCTAGAGGCAGCAAAACTAATGGTGCTCACAAATGCAAAAACACCATCCAACACTATCAACATTTCTGAAACACTCTAACTGGAAAAAAAACCCTGGGAGATTAGGCAGCCCAGCCAGTGGCAGCAATTCCTCTCAGTAACTCTGACATGCTGCAAGTCATCTTTTTTTTTTCCCCTCTCCCCTTCTTCAAAAAGACCAACACAAACAGCATTTGAAAACAGTCATTTCAAACCAAGAACTGGAATTCTGGACATCAGTGATGTCAAACTGCAGCAACCCAGTGTTTGCAAATAAGTTTTGGCCTCGGGACAAGAGAAAACTGATTTTTGCCTACGAGGGGCTCGTCAAGGGGAGCCAGGAGAGGCTCCAGCTCTGCCCTCACCCGCTCCCACCCATGGGCAAAGTGTGATAGCACAGAATCCTAAACACCCTGAGATGGAAGGGACCCACAAGGATCATCAGTCCAACTCCTGGCCCTGCACAGACCCCCCAACAATCCCATCCTGTGCTCGGAGAGTTGGCCAAACCCTCCTGGAGCTCTGGCAGTTCAGAGCACGGGGGGATGGCAACAAAGGAAAACAAAAACACTTTTAGTTGGTGAATTTTCCTTGAAACTTGAAGTATAACCACTTCAATCCTCCAATGTCTTACCTTTCAGGAGGCAGTTTCCCCAAATCATCCAGAGGTGGACAGCA